GGGAGGGGGGCGTTATTGAATTTCGACAATCTCTGATCGAATCCTGTGTGCTTCGCTCCCCACGTCACGTACGTCTGTCTGACATGCATCTAAGTACAAAACTGACAGACAGTTCTTTCCGCGTGTTCAGCATGATCGATGGCCTTCAGTTTTCTCTTGTATTTGGGACGTTATGTCTTGTGTTTTGTGAATCCAATACATAACGATTTCGCGAACAAATGTGGATCAAATATTCGTTGGTCTAGTAGCGACCCACATCCTGATTCCTTATCGGCTCTGGGCTCTACAAGCTTACTAGATGCCGTTTCCTCGAAGACAATAGCAAGATCGAAGACATGTATCTCTTCACGCACGTGTACTGATATACTATTGCGGTCCAGGCGCTCTGAAGTGAACGAAAGACAAAAGATCCGCAAGAACCATTATTTGTGTTTGTCTCAACTGAATATGTATGAAACCATGTAGATCCATCCTAACAAAGGGAGGCGTGGAGTGGGATCGACTTACTTAGTCGGCGCATAAGTCCATGGCGGCGGGAATGGGGGTGCATGAATGTAGGCGACACGTAACTAGTGGGGCGGGGAAGGTGATAAATGCCTCGGTCAATGCGAAAGGGAGGTTCGGGATTCTCCCGCTTCAGTGTTCAGCTACACCCGATGCTTATCTTTCAGTGGTGAGGTAATCCTCGGGGCGGTCGGTCCTCTTGCATGTACCAGATGAATGTTTCTGTTCAGCCACCATCCATAGAACACTCACTCACAAAGTAATATCGTGACGGCACTTCTTCGAAGAACGAATTTGTGTATTGTACGTTCCATATGCCGTACAAAGCTAGTAGTACAGAGGTTATCCTGGACCTTGACAGAAGGGCGAGGATCCTAAGGGTCGTTAAAGTAGAAGTCGCGTATTGCGTCGTATCGTAGGGTAATAATGCATGTAGAATGCGCAGCTGGTGCTTTATCTGTACGAGAAACGACGAAACGCTTCTGTGGATAAGTTTGCGACCTCAAGTGTGATGACGACGAAGAAGAGTCGCGGGTATGTGTAAGATGTGGAGGGAGAGCACGTGTGGGAGAGGAAGATGAATCTGCAAAGAGACCGACACCTGATGCAGTACCTGTGCCTGTGAAGAAGCAGAATCTATGATACAGGAGAAGGAGATTTAGTTGATAATACTGTGAAAAAATGGGGTGGCACAAACCTGCTCAGAAACTCAGTATAACTGCCAGTCCCGCTCATAGCGCTACCACCATCATCCACATCCTCCGTCTCCGTATCCTCCGTCTCTGTAAGTGGAGTCTCACTGTCCGTCGGACTTGGGCTAGGACTCGGACTTGGGCTACTATCCCTTGAGCTAGCAAGACTTGGTGTCGAAAGTTCGCTAATGTCAAGTTCTCCGACACTCAACAGCCCGGTCCGTGATGACGCTGCTAAGCGTCTGTCGGCGTTATGGCTACCATTGCCAAAAAATCCAAGCCCTGGTGGTCTGGACGGTGGGAATGAGTAGCACCTTCCAGGCATAGGCGTATCATCTCCCTCTCCCTCTTCCGTTTCATCGTCTGTCTCCTTTTCCTCATTGCTACCACTTTCACTGTGACTGATATCTTTATCCTCCGCATCTAAAACTCCACCAGGTGGCGATCCAGGCGGTGTCCTCCTCACCCCACTCGCAGATGTCGTGTTCAACGTTAGAGAGGACGGCTCGGCAATTTGGAAATAACCCCTTCTATGGTTCCTTGGGGTCGGAGTGGTATTATTGCTATGATCGCCAGTGACTGGGAAGGGGAGATCTTCTAATTCATCCCTGTCCCTCCCGTTTCCATACATGAACGGCGGCCTGTCTTCGTCCCATGCATCGCGTGGACTACCCAGGGGAGGCGTCCACATCGCCTTTTCTTTTTCTGATCGCCCAACAGGCCACGGAATTAAATTTGTATTCGCAGGCTTAGACGCGGGTTTCGGAGTTGCCGATCCAGGAATGATATTGGATTGGGAAGGAACCGGGTAGGATTTCGTCCGCAAATGTGTTCTCTGTGGGGTGCGAGGTGTGTGTATTGGTGTGTGGGGTAACGGAGGCGGGTTCCACCGGTTTGAAGGGGATTTCGAAAAGTCGTATCGTGGAACGGGTCGTATTGGGGTAGGAGCAACGACTTTTTCTAGCGTGGAACGAAGGGAGGCGATGGCAGCGGTGGATTCGGGTCGGCCTCGTTCGCTATCTCGCTCTCTTTCTTCTCTGAATTCCCTTTTACCCTCCCTCTCAGACTCGGTAGACTTCGACTCAAGCGCAAACTCCACAACATAATCTTGCCCGTAATTGTTATCCCACAACTCTCGTCCGCCAACAGAGTATCGAATGGCAAGACACATTCGCTTGCCGTCGATCCGTGCCATGAGGTCATTGAGACGGACACTGAATACGAAAATGTCCGTGCGCGGAGAAGGGGAAGAAACGTATCGCGCTGAAACCTCCGACGTCGTCTGCCAGGCATCGAAAGTGAAGCGCGCAACGACAATTTTGGCGTAGGCGAGATTGGCGACGCGGACGCGACCAACGACAGAAGGGGAGTCGGTACTTAGCTCAAGACTCTCAAGGAGGACATCAGTGTGTCCCGGAACAACGAGGCGTGGGGGCATGTTGATGTGGTGCATGGCGAGATTACGAGTGGGATGCGATGAGTTCGAGCCGAAAACCCAGTCGGGGAAGTCGGTATCAGTGCCCGACGCGGTGTCTTCGGTAGGACTTCCATCACGAGAAACAGCAAGGGGTTTTTGTTCGGCAAGAAAAAGCTTAACGTGCTCCAGCTGGGCGTCGAAATGGACGTTCTTCGGGGCGTGGGTTGGTGTTGCAGGGGCGCTTTTGGATTCAATGTAAGGAGAGCGAGTAGTAAGGAGAGAAAGGGACTTGGAAGGCTTCAAAGAGGACTTTACTAGCTGGCCAGACTTTTTTCGTATAAGGCGGGGTTGAGATTGGGAAGTAGAGAGTGTAGAGGTGGATGGGGGTTCCAAGGAAGACGAAGACGATGGTGCGTGGGATTCGGAAAAGTTTCGAGCAGTAGTAAGACGCAGTGAAACACCAGGCGAGTAGAGTAATGGACGGCGAGAAGTGGGTTCTGTGTGCTCGGAGCTAGCTCTTTTTATTCGACGAGACGCAGTTGGGCGACTGGTATCGCTTCCAGATGAAGATGAAGAACCAGACTCGTCAAAAGCCAGCGGGGGGGAAGACTGTTGAATTACGACTCTGATGGGCACAGCGGAGGAGGACTCTCGAGACAATCGCCTTGGAACAAGCGGCAAAGGCGCACCAGCCTGATTTCCTGTAAATAGGGGATTAGGAGGCGACATGCGCTGAGTCGCTAGCATCTGGGGGGCGTAAAGGGTGAATACAAGTAGAAAAACGGAGAAATATAACTCGCCTTGTGTCTCGCCAGGATGAGAGGGTCCGCGGAGAGAGAGACGCGGACTTTTGATAACTAACAAGTAAAAGCGTGGATACTTTAAATTTCGGGTTTAGATTTCTAATAGTGGATCTCCATTTTTATCACAACATTTTAGAGTTGCGGCTAACATCTTTCCATCCGTGTCTCACTTTTTTGATATTTCTTTCCGACACGGTCATATCTTTGAATTCAGTCCTGCTCTTCGAGACAGAACGATCATTGTCTCTAAGATAACAGCTAGGGATTTCCATCAAACGAATTCCACTTTCTAGTTGAAAAGCTCTCCGCGGTAAAAATGAACTTACTGACGAATTGAACATTCGAGGTGGTTAACGAACGTGCCTGTTGGCTGTGGCAATAATCATATATTTGTCACATGCATGCGTCATGATCATCAGAGTCACGGTCAACCACCACTTGACAACCATTTCCCCCTGAGTAAGTGCAATTTACATTTCAAATTACGAGATATATTTTACGCCAGTTTTGCGACAGTCATATCTACCACGTACCAGTTATGTCGTACTCGTTCAGCGTTCTAGGCCTGGTTTCAACGCCGAGGGCCCACGCTTGGTACATTGCAGACTGTCGAAATCAATCATAAAATGATTCGAAGTACGAGCAGGTATGGTACTTACGGTCCGAATGTCACCACTGTATTCATGTCTAGTCTCGACAAGAATTTCTACCCAGAGTGGCAAATCACCCATTCGAGGATAGGCAATGAACTTCTCTTCTTGTGTTCGCATCCTACCTTACTAGCGAAGCGACACTGGACGTAACCACTTCATGGTACCGGTTCGTGCCTTTTCACATCCAGCTATATACATCCACACTGCACAACTTAAAGGTTGAGCTACCCAACCTGCTTTGTTCTACTGGAAATTCCAAATCCGCCTTCCACGGATACCTTGCGATGATACGATGATACAAATCTGGCTATGTCATCAACCTCGCTCCCTCCGAGTTGACTTTAAGCTGGCTCTGAGTATAGCAAGTTACTTAGCATTTAAACTCAGGCCGCCCTTGACACCCCTCGATACGCACAACGACCGACGATGAAGCTGAGCATCATCCTCTACCCCAAAGTCAACTTGTTGTTGGCTTAGCTTAACAACTCTCGGTCATCATGACCCTCGTTTGTCATAATTTACCAGCCTGGGCCCGCGGCTATCTCACACTCAGAGCGCGGTGACAAATGGAACTTTGCCCTTTCTCTCCCTGATCATGAGATGACATTGCGATACCTCCGCATTTAAACTTTAATCTGTGTTTTTACAGTCTTCCTCAGCATGGCTGATTGTCCTCTTCCCCCGCATGTCGCCGCTTTGCGCCGGTTACACGATATCGATGCGTCCAACGTTTGTCCATTTCTATCTATCCGCTATCTATTATTCTTTTCCTATCGTTCGTTGTTTTCATCCTTGGGCCTCAATGCTGATAATCCTTTCAACTTGTAACGGCATCCGTTTCTCTCCATGTTAGTGTGATAGATGACGTTTTGTTGTCCACTGACAGGATATCACGATGTTTTTACAGTTGTTCAATAAGATTAGCACAGCATCCCCCTTAGCTCAGTGGTAGAGCGCGTCACTAGTATTCATCGTGCTATGACGAGGTCAGTCGTTCAAGTCGGCTAGGGGGAATACAGTTTTGTGTTGTCCTCTGTTTTTGCTACTTTCATCGCTTGTCTTACTAAATTTCAGCGACAACTATGCCATCACCTGAATGGAAGTACATTCCGCGGTCCGTCACTTGACCGCATTATCTCAGATGGGTCTTTTGACTTGATCCCTCTCCTGCCCTCTCTGTAGCCTGCGTTCCACGTCGCCGTGGTCTGTCAGAAAGGGAACAAGATGAGTATGCTTCACTGATGGTTATTTGTGTCTCTCGTCCCTTTCCCTTGTCTTGTTTTTGTAATGGAGGTTCCGGAGTGGCTCTTACGAATCGTGGAGGCTTTGGGGTATTCTACAATACGAGAAAAAAAATCTCGTCTCAATCATTATGATCAGTTCATGACACCAAAAATTCGAACCTTGAGGCCAAACTCTCGCCGTCGTCGGGCGAACAACGGCTCAATCTCGTCAAGTAGCTTTGAGCGGAAGGGGAGGACAAAACACCGCTCTCGTTGCTTTCCAGTTGAACGAGTCTCCAGTATCACGAAGGTTGGGTCTATGTATCTGGATTCACGTCTGGGACAAGTGTGGCGAAAAAGCTCCTGAAAAGCGCGCAGGATGAGGTCGGCAAAAAAGAACTCGAAGTCTATAGTGACATAACGTGCTGACATGCTGTAAACAATAGGGCCGAGCAAAATGAGGTCGAGCAGAACAGGGAGTCGATCCGTGAAACAAGTTTGCTCGACTAGTAAAGCATCATTTCTAGGCCAAGATTCAAGCCGTTTAACTACAGTGGTTACTGTTGAGCTATCGGAGATGGTCATTCGTAAACGCATGTACACGCAATGTCCAGGAGATTGATTGGTTGATATCTCGGCGACAAGATAGTGGAATAGATTATCAGATGCATGATCTTTATAGGCCCGGAGCTCATGCACTCGTTCCCGTCCAATTCGAGAACGCTGAGAGGCATAGTCTCCGTTGGAACTCTGAGTATAGACCTCGAGCACGTCCTTTTCCCACTCCTCGCATGAGCGTGGATGAGAGCGAAATTCCACAAACGAATCAGATGGGTCTGGTTGGTATATCGACTTGACGTTGGATATCAATGTATTGGCACCGAGACGAGAAGAAATGTGGCGAATCGCACCAACAACAAGATCGGCGCGCTGCATATTATGTGGAAGGCAGCCAAAGTTGTGGCTCTGAATCAGGTGAAGTTGTTCTGGTATATGAGGGATGTGGACTTGGCTACGAGATTTTTCGCCCTGAATTTATAGGTTGGAAGCAGTGGCAGGGATGGGGCCACAATCATTGAGTATAAGAGCCCTTCGCATTTTGATCCCAGAATTGGGTATGATTCTAAGTAGGACTATTGATATCAGGGGCAATGAATTGTTGCAAAATCCGTGAGGTGGATGACTTTGGAGGAATACAAACGTGGAAACTTGATCATGATGGTAACCAGAAAATGTTGTTGTTCGGATCTACATCCGAATTTCCGATGCTCTCTTTGACTTCCAATTGTACACTTGTAAGTACTCTTTGCAGTCAGCCGTGAATGCTGCGTTCAGGCGAAGCCCATTGTATGAGCCAGGATATGTGCAAATTATCACGATTGCTTCGCCCTTTGAACAAAAGAGTTGGGAACGATCTCGTAACTCGAGATTATCATCGCGCCACACGATAGATAGAAGCTTTCAACGTCCAGTATGAACGAACTACAAACCAATGACTCGGGACCATACTGGATAACGAAGTACCTTTTAATTTGGTAGCCAAATCTCAGCTGACAAGGCCCACGATGAACACGGTTCTCCGTAAGGCAGATAGCTGTGAAGATCTGTGGCTTCGCCGAGGCGGCTCCAAAACGTGTCTTGCGTATTTGAAGTAAGGGAGATTGGTACTAAATTGGTGAACCAGGTGCGGTGGGAAAGAAAATTTGCCACCCTTCGTCCAGTACTCTCAAGTTGGTCCTTTATTCCCTCGTAATATTAATATTGTGCTTCAGATTACAATGCCTCCCTCTCTCGACCATTCCCTCACAACTGCTCAGCCTCATGCCAACTCTCAGGACAATGATGCCTTAATTGGCGCTTGAAATGGCATCCCCACAACAAATCGCGATTTTTTAAACGGTAACCTAATAATGACAATTTATCGATCCAGCACAACACTTCAATAATCCATTCTGTCTGGCAGGCGCAGAGTTTCATAAACTCTGAGAATTCTGATTGATTTAATTAGTTGGCAGGATGAAGATAGGTACATCACCTTGTATCCCTGGCGGGATTGTGGCGCATATATCCATTTCTTTTGAACAGCGGCAGCAATGGCGATAGTACAGAGCAGCGCTTCAATACGTTTGCAATTGGGCCGACGATCTGCCTAAATGTGGCTGGTTTGTATGAACTTGAATCCCCACGAAGGAGGCCAAGGCGAAAAACGCGCACCCACGCCGTACGTATGAACCTTATCAACGCATATTTAAACTGTCAGGACTGGGAAGGTCCCGAGGATATCTCGAAAGGAGACTCCAGAGACTGGTGGGTAGAGCGATGTGTTGGAGCCAACATATGTATAGGAATAAGTTGGTTTGATGGGCAAATTTAGTACGTTCGCTTGTAACATTGCCCATGAATTATGAACTAGTATGGTGACCTCCTCCTCTCCGGCAATTATCTATGTTCAGGACCAATCCATCTTTCGGCAGTGGAAACCACAAATAATTGATTGTGACGATGTCTACGCAAGAGTCTTCTTGATATGGGGTATCTAATCAATAGCGCTGCGCACAAAGGGTGGTGCCGACACTTCACATCTAACACACTATGTAAAAAGGTACATGGTTACATGATTGTATGGCTACACAAACCTACATTGAAGTGTCTTCCGTTGTTCTTTTTCTTCTTGTCTCCTTCTTCGGTTTTCTTCTCGTCTTTGTCGTCCAATTATTCGCCTTTGTCGTACGGGTGCCAAAGCCTTCATTATTTTGTCTTTGATGTTCTCCCAACCTGAAAGGTATCATGGTGTAAGGAATTTACCAGGATCAAGCCACTCACCACGATCCGTCAGCTCCTTCGAAAGTTTGACGCATGGCATATCCTTGATCCACTGCCGACAACGTCTGAAGGTTCCTCCCCATCCTAACAACTCTAATGAGCAATTGAAGAAAAATGGATATGAAACACCCTCACCAATATCATCGAGCCTCTTTTCGATGCTACATGAATATCGATTAGGACAAACAACCATGTGATGTTGAGTGTTTTTACGCTTTGAAACGTCGTTGCTGGACGAGTATTATTTCTTTGGAACGATTTTCACTCCGATGGTTGAGCTATTGATTCAAATAACAGCCGTCCTGTGAAGGGCATGAGCAACCAAAGCAGCAAAAAATGCCTGAGATGAGTTTGTACCCTTATGCGTCGCTCTCTTTCCTGAAGGCATGCTTTCACCCACTCATCTCGAGCTACACCTGATAACTTTAGATAGTCTTGACATAGATTGGTAGCGTAGTCCTCGAAAATATCATATCGATTGTCTTCAGGGGAACTTTCTTCTAACTCAATGTTACCTGATAGTACTGTGTTAGAAATGTTTAGTGATTTGTCAATATCATGCCTTACTTATGAAGTGTTTACTTAGGTAGACGGACGGCAAGAGTTTCCACAGACTGATATCCAAAGTCTGGTTATATTCGCGCTCCATCTTCTCAAGAAAAGGCTTCAGGCTAGGTGGATCATGATTTTTTGACGAAACAATGAAAATGTTATGAACTCACTCAATCAAACCAACTTTTCCATCGCCGATGCACTGATTGCAGCAGCGTCGACTGTTTGACCATATAAATTTAGTGCCTTTCAGTTTATTACAATACTAGGACAAAGTCAGTGGCCCATCTATGCACGAAGAAAGCATAAGCCGTACATCACAAAGCTCGTCGAAAACAAGGGCAGCGAATTGGGCCTCGTTGAGATCATCCGGGCACTCGCGAAAGCAACCTACATTGATTCGAGCTTGCTGCCAAACATATTTTGCTGACTTTGTCATAAGGACTCGTCGCAGAGTTTTAGATGTCCGAGAAAGATGGAGAATGTCGACTGAAGAGAGGTACATGAGTCTGTGAAGGATCGATAGTCAAAGTCTGACTGTATGGAAAACGGACTCAATGAATACTTCGTGAAATACGTCAAGAGGCATTTCAACAATTCCCGACAGTACTCCAGTGAGCCTCCCGGCGCGCCGTCCTGAGACGTTCTTGACCAACCCAGTAACAGTAGTCACGGCAATGGTCGCATTGGGAGTCCTAGTTTTATCCGCAGACAAGCTAGCGAGACGAGAAGAACGCCGAGGCTGCTGCCGCTGCCGAGGCATATGTTTGCGAGAAGGAAAAAAAATCAAAGGATGCCCCGGATCAGTGCATCATCAAAATGACAAAAGCTGAACGGATGACCAAGGTGTTCACGTTCAGCGCTTGATCATGATCAAGCGATTGGACCATGGCAGTGATCTACTACTGGCAACGGCTACTACAGAGAAGCTGTGCGCAAACCAAACCGTGACGGCAACGGAACTTTAGAAGTTGCGTGGTCTACGCAAGACGCCAAACTCATGATCACTCGAGGGTGATCTTGATATGGCGCATCTGACCAATAATGGTGCGCATGGCTGCATGACTATGTGGCTACACGAACCTACTTGGCGATAAGGAGTAGAGTCATTTTCTATTCAAGTGCCTTGCGTTTTTCTTCATCTCTTTCTCTAGTTTTGCTCGTACGGGTTTCAAATCTTTCATTACTTCGTATTTGATGTTATCCCAACCTGAGAAGGTATCATATCATCATAAGGGATTTGCTTGGATTAGGCTACTCACCACGATCCGTTAGCTCCCTTGGTTGTGTGAGCCACGGCTTACCATTCTTGATCCACTGTCGACAACACTGTCTGAACTCTTCTCCCCATCCTAACAACTCTAATGAGCAATTGGGAAAAATGTAGATGTAGCACCCCACTGCTCACCAATATCA